GCTTCTTGGGTGGTTGATTATCCGGCTCAGCAACCAGTGCATTATTTCGGAGCGGATCTCCTTGACAAACGGGACATTTCTTCAGGAACTCGGCAGATGATTGACTATCATTGTAGTCAAGTAGAATTTCATCTCCTGAAAAAATTACCTTGGTTGCTGTGTAGACTATGACCGGTTTGCCATCCCCAAAGATATCAATGGGATTACCTTTGACGTTGGGGCAACAGGCGCTGTGGTTAATCAGCCGCCCCATGTGGCCGTCGTCCGTGGAAGCATCTCTGTAGTGCCACTTGTCACCAAACCGAAACTTAATCATGTAGCCCATGCCTCCATCAGAGCCTGCATAATATTTGGCATCCCCCTCCTTGCCGGAAAGATAATGTCCGCCATTATCAATGACCACCTGACCTTTCGTGTGCCTCTGCATAGCGAAAACTCCATTTCCTCGGTTTGGTAGTGAGCCTTTCTTAAACAAATCTAACCAGACATTAGATGTGACGGCGTTTCGCAGGCGAGCCGGGTCACTGGTCATTGTTAGGACATTTGAGGAACGAGACGGTTGATCAAAGTTCTTATTCAGAGTGAATATAAAACTTGCAATGGCCTGTATCTTTGCTGTGAGGTTTTTCAATTCTGGATATTGCTTGGGGAGAATTTTGACCAGTTGGGCTTTCGTGGACGTTTTAGAATGTCTGGTACATTCCACGAAATGTTGGGCGTATCTGTGCAATTTAAGGTCCCTTAGATAGGAGGTTACCGTCTTGATGATGATTTTGCCCTCAGGTGCCAACACACCCTTATCATCCACGCCACCTAGATGCTTGAACTCGGAGAGGTCCGTAAAGCTAGCAAAGACTGTGTGTTGTTTGGGGATTTCTCTGTCATGGACCACTGGGAACATATCGAGGGCTACTTTCTTTAAACGAAGCAAGCAATCCTCTTTCGTTAAATCATCGGAGGCCCTCGAGGAAAGACTGCTGCAGGGAGAAGGGGCACGATTAGAGGGTGAAGCCTCTGTGCCAGAAGTGGAAGTGGGAGTGGAAGTGCCAGGAGGAAGGGCGGGGGTGACATTGCCAGAAGTGAAACTTTCCTGGGGGTTGAAACACCAGGGACATCCAGGGAATGTAAAAATGCGTGAACCGGGAGGGGGGCATCTACACCTCGACTGGTAGAGGGTCGAGATTCTACGGCAGAATGAGCCGAGGGTAGCATTTCAGGCATGTGTAATGCACGCCAACTAAGTGCTTAGTCAATTCGACTAGGAACGTCGGGTGTGTGGGCACAATTTGCACTGTTTGGTACCAGGGTTTTTAATGAGAACATATGCCATGCAAA